GGGTTGCAAGCTGTGGGGAAAAGCCTCTGCATTTGAGGGCTGAAGGCTGGGGCTTGGGCGGTGGCATCAAAGGATCTGCAAAAATCAAAGGACCTTGGGACCAGCAGTTAGCGTAGTGGCTATGTCGCTGGACTCCCATGTGGCCAACCACAGTTCGAGTCCCGGACCTGGTGACTTAAAACTCATGCTGGGCGCATGTGCATGCGTGCCCAAGATCCCGAGAGGAGAATGGAGGAGAAGGGATTGCGGCGTGGCCATCACCTCTGGGGGGTGATTTCTTGCTTTCTGTCTCTCTCTCTCTCTGTCTGGTGAGTGCACGCGCACTATGGCAAAAAAAAAAAAAAACCTCTCCCCCAAAAAAGAAAAAAAAACACAGAAATCAAAGGATCTGTAAAGGGGCCGGCAGTTGACGTGGTGGTTAAGGGCGCTGGATTCCCACATGGCTGACCATGGCTTGACCAGTCCTGGACCTAGTGACTTGCTTTCTCGCTTTCCCTCACCCGCCCCTGGTTCAAATTAAGAAAATAATGATAACAAGTGGAATTAAATAATAATTTTTTTAAGGACCTCCAAGATTGTCCCAGCCAGAGGCAGGGCCAATGGCCCATCAGGCTGGGAGGATGGGCAGCCAGACAGAGCAGTTCAGGTTTATCACTTTCACAGCTTCAGGGAGAGGTGTCATTAGAAGAAATGGTTCTGATCCCCTCAATGAGATTGAACACTCAGCACCTTCATTGTACCCATGGGACTACTGAGGTCCAGAGGCCTCCCAGGCTGTGAAAATGACAGCAGGTGGTCTGGAGACCCTCACCCAGCACACTCTCCCTCTGTCACCCTGGCCCCCTTGCTCACCATGCACCTGGGGGTGTCCCCGTTCCTCTCTTCAAAGCTCAGCTGTGTCATCAGTGAAGCAGAGACAGAGGCAGGGTTTGCTGCTCATCTCCTGGGCCAGCTCAGATAACGTCATTAATGTAAGGTTTTGACAAACACTTCTCTATGCCAAGCTTCAAGATTACAGCTGTGCCATTTATCCTGTGGACCCCCGGAACATGCCACACAGTAGACATTCATGCCCCAGGTTATGGTGGAGGGAACCGAGGCTCAGAGAGGTTCCATTCCTTCTGCAGGTCTCACTAGTAAGAGAAGGGAGGACTTAAACCCACCTTGGTGGGCCTCCCGAGCCCCTGCTCCTCCTAGCACTTTGTGCTCCTGACTCAGACTGGGTCAGGGCCATCTGTGCTTCCCTCATCAGACTGCGTCAGAGCCTTTCATGTTTCCCCCATCAGAGTAGGTCACAACCTTCTGTGTCTCCCCCTCAGAGCAGGTCACAATCTTCTGTGTCTCCCCCTCAGACTGGGTCACAACCTTCCGTGTCTCCCCGCTCAGACTGGGTCAGGGCCTTCCATGTTTCCCCATTAGGCCGTGTCAGACCCTCTGTGTCTCCCCCATCAAACGGGGTCAGGGCCTTCCATGACTCTCCTGTCAGACTGGAAACTCATCCAGAACAGGATAGTGTCTGAGTCACTTGGTTTCTCTGAGACTGGCCCAAAGTGACCAGATCCAGCTTATGTTGGCCCAACTGGCCTGGAAGTTCCTAGAGGGCAGAGCCATGAGCTTCCTCTGGGCAGGGCAGCAGGGTCCCTATGTGACCAGCCCAGAGGCTCAGCACAGGGTCTGACTGGGGCAGGGCTCCAGGCCCTAATAGCCTGGTTGAGCATACAGCATGGGGCAGCCCTAGATCAGCGAGGGGTGAGGGGTCAAAGGACCTTGGTAAGTTACTGGTGTGGGGTCTTTGCCCCAGAGACAGGGTTTTGTTGATTAGTTGGAGATTCCCAGCATCTTGGAGGGGACCTTCCTGCAGGGGCAGGCTTGCAGCTGCCTCCAGCCTGCCCTCCTGAGGCCCATACACGTGGTCCTAGCTCAGGTCCAGCTGCCGGACACTCACCCAGCCCTGCTGTTCCCTGTCACGGGTGGCTGGGAGGCTGGAGCAGGCAGTCCTCCTCTCTCTTCTCCCCAGAGAGGGCCTCTGCTCTGGGAACTGGGAGTCTCATAAAATGGGCTGTGGAGTGGCTGCTTTCCCCATCGCTGTCGGAATCTCATGACAAAGTCTCCTCATCCCAATTAGTGGGATGAGGCGGTGCCTGTCCCCGCCGCCTGCCCTCCCAGCTCCTGTCCCTTCCTGCTGCTCTCTCACGCAGCCTCAGCCAACTTTGCATGACAAGCTCTGCTGGAGCCCCAGTCCCGGCGCCCCTGCAGAAATGAGAAAAAGCTGTGGCCCTGCAGCCCCCACTAGGCCCCAGACCACAGCCCCAGCTCAACCATACACCGACTTGAGCTTTAGGCTTCAATCTCCCCACTTGTAAAACAGGTGTGAGGCCTGGCGTGTGCCGAGGGAGTCCCTCCCACTTCCCTGAGATCTCAAAGGGTCTCACTAAACTCCCGCTCTCACAGCAAAGACCCCCTGCCCACCTTGACACGCACACACTGTGCCAGGGCAGGAGGCACTCACTGCCTCATGCCCTGGGCCTGACTGCTGGGCAGTCCACCCTGGCAGACCTAGAGACCACTCCCCAGCCCTCCTGCTGGCCTTCAGCGAGTTTCCCTGGAGGCCCATCTGCCTGCTCCAGTTAGTCAGGCACATTGTTCCATAGTTCTTGCTCCATCCCAGGCTCCTGGCTCCTGGGCTCTTCCAGCAGGCATCATGTCGTGAGAATAAACCCTAACAGCTGCCTAGAGGGGGCCAGTGGTGCTCCTGATTCAACTTGGCAGCCCCAAGTTCAAAGTGCCCAGAGAGGGGCCTGTACTTCCCAACCTCGGTCTCTCATTTCTTTCTTCCTTTTTTCCCGCAGAAAGATTTTTGCTTTAGGGTACGTGTGCTTGCTAGAGAGACAGAGACAGAAAACGAGAAATCACCCCCCAGGGAGATAGCCATGCCACAATCCCTTCTCCTCCAGTCTCCTCTCAGAATTTTGGGCATGCACGCACATGCGCCCAGTGTGAGTTTTAGGCCACCGGGTCTGGGACGTGAACTGCAGTCAACTATGTGGGAGATCAGTGACATAGCCATTACGCCATCTGCTGGTTCCCTAGTTTCTCATTTCTTTCTTTTTTATTTTTTTAAAGAATTATTTATTTTATTTTTTTATTCATTCATTCATTTTAATTTGACCAGAGAAAGAGAGAGAGAGAGAAAGCAAGAAAACAAGCCACCAAGTCCAAGCCTCAAACTGTGGTCGGCCGTGTGGGAGTGCCCAATGCCTTAACCACCACGCCACCTGCTGGTCCCCCCAGTCTTTCATTTCTAACACGCAGGGTAATGTTGGCCTCCTCCCGCTCTGGGACCAGCCAGGATATAGAGTGTGGAAGCTTGGGTGCAGCTTCCACAGGAGCGGTTTTTGTATGGTATTTTCCACCCCATAACATCTGTGTTATTAGGTAGGACCACCAATTAGTGAGTTCAATGGTGCCCCCCAAAAGGTGTGCCCACCAGAGCCTGTGAGTGCCACCTTATTTGAAAAGAGGGACTCTGTAGATGTAAGGACCTTGAGATCAGATGAGCCTGAGTTATCCAGGTGGCCCTTCCTCCAATGGCAATGGCCTCAGAGTTGGAGGCTTAGAGGGATGAGGCAGAAGAGGAGGGGCTGGCGGCCACGAGGCAGAGGTTAGAAGAAGCAAAGAACAGACTTTCCCCTTAGAGCCTCGTAGGGAGCACAGCCCTGCCCTGACTTCAGACTTTGAGACTCTAGAACGGTAAGATAATATGAGGGGACTTCAAAAAGTTTGTGAAAAACATAATTAAAGTAGAATTTATTCTGGAAAAAAATGAAAAATTGTACACAGTCTTTTCATAATACACATTTTTCATGAACTTTTTGAGACCTCGCTGTTGTTTGGAGCTACCAAGTCTGTGGTAATTTATTACAGCAGCCACAGGAAACTAATATAACCCCCATTTTACAGACAGAGACACTAAGGTAAGAAAAGTAGGTAAGCCTGCCTGAGGTCACCCTGGGGGTCCGTGGGAAGCCAGACACGACCCAGAAATAGCTGAGGCTGTAGGCCGAGGAGTGGTATCAGGCAGGGACAGCCTGAGGGTGGGGTGGTAACAACACCCCTTCTCAGATCATCCAGAGCCCAGGCTGGTCCTTCCTTCTGCTCACAGAACCCTGCAGCTTGGGGGAGCTCCCCAGGGCCAGGAGACAAAGGGACAGGGATGCCTCCACCCCAGGTCAGATGCTGTGTCTCAAGAGAGTGCACTGGTTATTGCTGGGAAGTGGGGTTGGGGCTCCATTCAGGCCACTGTTCTGCTGGGGCATCTGGGACAGGGGTCATGGCCCTCTGAACCCAGGACTCATTTATGAATGAGGCCCCCTGATCCTTTTCCTGGGGGCTGTGGTGATGGGCAATGAGACAAGGAGAGTAACGGCTACAGCACTATGGTTGGCCACTGGAGCTCTCTCCCAGTCCCTGTCTATGCTCTCATCCCAGGGGGCAGTGAGGCGAAGCCGCCAAAACAAGCCCATAGGTAGGGAGGTAGGAGGGCAGGCTCTCCTCTAACAGTGGGCAAAGGCAGAGTTTACCGTAGTTATCTGCAGGGGTGGAAGCTGAGGCAGGGCCCAGGAAGGCAGATGAGGCTGGGGGCTGGTATCTAACCACGCCATGCTCCCAGACCACGCCTCCCCACACGCACCTACCCACCCCCTTCCCAGGTCCCTCAAGCCCTACTCACCCTTCAGCTTCTCTCCAAACATGGTCAGGAAGACCGTGAAGTTGATGGGCCCTGGAGCCTCCTTCACCATGGCCTCCAGCTCTTCGTTCTTCACATTGATGCGACCTAGGGGAGGAGGTGGGAGGGGCTCATGTCCTCCATGCAGGGGTCAGGGGGATGCCTAGAAATGAAGACTCTGGGGTTCTCCCTTCTTCCACACCAACCTCTCATCGTTCCTAAGTCCCTTTACTGCCCCTCTCTTGACCCCTCACCATACCCAGACCTTCCCTCTGACTCCAGGCCTTGTCATGGGCTATTCCTGCCCCTGTAATGCTCTCCCCTTCCATGGCTGAGACCTCCTCTCACCCCTAGGAATTACCCCAACCTTCCCTGGCCATCTTCCTCTGCACCCCCATCACACTCCAGCCCCATACGCTCACTGTGCTGCTGCCTTAGGCTTCCCCAGCTGCCCACTCTTTCCAGATGGCCAGGGTTTAACTCCCCAGCAAGCCTGAGCCTCTGCAGCTGCCCAGGTACCTACCCAGTGCAGCAAAGGTGTCCCTCAGGTCTTCCTTGTCAATGAAGCCATCCCGGTTCTGGTCCATGATGGTGAAGGCCTGGCAGAGACACACGCCTGGCAGTCACCCATCCACTGCCCCGGCACCCTCCCCAAGGGCTGTCTGTCCTCCAGTGGAGGCCCAGGGAACCTCAGTGCAGGCCCCTCTAGTCACCTAGGTGCCCGGTTTGGGATGAGTCAGGGCTCATCCTCTCTGGGCTCCACCCAGACCCTCATTTCAGGCTTTCAGCAATTCCAGTTTGCAGAGAGGGAAATGGAGCCTAAAGACAGAACGGCCTTGCCTGAGATCACACAGCAAACACAAGGTCAGGTTCAGAGAGAGGAAGGGCAGCGAGAGACAGCTTCAGGTTTGGAAGCATCCCAGAATAATGACAGTACCTTCAGCCCCAGGGACCTCGGGCTGGCCTGAGCCTGACTCAGCACTTTAAGATTTGCGTTAATCTTCCCAAAAGCCCCAGGGGCAGCAGACCAACCTCTTTAAACTCCTGGATCTGGGACTGATCAAACATGGAGAAGACGTTGGAGCTGGCTCCTCCTTCTGCTCTTTTCCGGGCTCTTCTGGGTGCCTGTGAGGTACCAGGTAAGGCCTTGCAGCAGCCGGCACCCCCAACCCATGTATCACTTCCCACGGTTACACCATCCAGAATGGCATCGCCCTACACTCCAGTACTCCCAGCGGATAGCCGAGGCTCAGCAAAGCCTTGCAGACCAGCAGGGTGCTCTCCCTGCACTGGGCAAGAAGCCGGCAGAGTACCCACCCTGCAGGGTTAGGCAGCTGCTCCCCAGCCCAGACCACCCTGCCACTGGGGTTCCAGAAGCTGGGTAGTCAGCATTGCACCATGGGACAGGGGGGGGCATCTTTTCTAGCTTCGGTATGCATGGGGCTCCCGGTGTCTTCCTGGTTGCCCTCCACTACAGCTGGGACCTGACCGCATCAGCCCCTGCTTAATCCTTCCCCAGGGTCCTCAGGGTATCTGGACTCTCAGCCCCATACCATCTGTCCCTTGTCACTGTTCTGGAGCTTCTACTCCCTCCTACGTAGGTCCCTACTCTGCCCCAACCTGCTTTGAGCTGCCTTCTCTCAGTGTTTGCTACTGCCATCCCCACTGCCTGGGACGCCTCCCCCGCCTTCCATCGGGAAGGCTTCTACTCATCCTCACACTCAGGTCCCTTGTCACTGCCTCTGAAAAGCCCTCCCTGATGCCCCAGGCCCTCCACCCGTCCACAGCTGTCTCTGTCTTGGACTGTCACTCCCTACAGTACATACCAACTGTCCCACCATTTCTCTGTCGTTTTCCCCAGCGAGGTGGGGACTTCAAGGGCACGTCCCCATCTCTCCCATCTCTGATCCCTCCGTCCCACCCGGACCTGGCACAGAGTGGAATTCAGTCAATGTTTGCAAACAGCTGCCCAGAACAGCAAGGCTGCAGGTAGGGCTGCGACCACCCACAGGGAGTATTCCGGGGTCTCTGGCTGGCCCTTCTGCATCGACACCTTCCTTTCAGGATGCCGTGGTACCTGAGAGTCCACCATTAGACATTTACTAAAAGCTGTGAGTCCTGGATTGGCGCTTAGTGGGGGAGAACGGTCTGGACTTCACGAGGGAGAGGTGGAAGGGATGGCACAGGCAAGGCCCCCACCCGCGGCTCCTGCCTCCTTCTCAAATACCCTCTGCCAAGTCCTAGTCTACTGCTCCCCCTCCCTGTAGAACATGGGTTCCCCCCACCTACTGCCTGTGTGGTCTCCCCTCCCCCTAACTCCCCCTTGTCCCCGCCCCCACGCTCGCCCCCACTCCCCTCGGGCTCAGGAGCAGCAGCGCCCAGCTGACTTATAATTAGCTTTTACTGGGTGCTTTGTCTCCACTAATCCTTTGAAAGGGGGCTGGCAGGGCGGCTGGGACGTTATGATGCTGTAAAACCTCTGTAATATTTATAAATCCCTTCAGACATCATAAAGAAAAGAACTTCCCTGCAGAGTTCATCTCACATAATTACATATACATTTCCCTCTGATTAATAAAAAATGATCACTTCCGTCTGCGGGATGCTCTGCCCTTTCTCAGACTTGCCCTCAGCCTCGGCATCCCCATCGCTGCCGCACCCCAGCCACGAATGTCCGTCTTCTTACATGTCACCACACTGTGTGTTCCCGAGCTCTGCGAGGGAGGACGGACTGCACAGGGTGACCCTGAGGCCTCTGATCTCCAGCCAGGACCCTCTGCAGCCCAGCTGTTTTAGACATTCCTTTTATAAGGGACCCCTGAGAGAGAAAATCCCCTTGAAAGAAACATCTTGGGGAAGAAGAGGGTCACCCAGACCTGGGTTTAAATCCTGACTTGGTTGCACAAGGTCTCTCTGATGTTAAGGAATGCAGTCGCCTCCTCTGAACCTCAGTTTCCCCATGTATAAAAGTAAGAGAATGTCTACCTCAAAGCACCCGGATATTATTAGGCCCCTGACCTCCAGTCAGGCTCTGTACCCCATCCCAGGGACCCAGAGCTGAGTTAGGCCCGGTGCTTATCCCCAAGGAGCTCACAGTCCAATCAAGGTCAAGTGATCAAGAGAGGGTGATGGCGGGAGAGAGTTCTCCGGGAAGCCCCCACGCCACCCAGCGGGCAACTGGGAGGTGGTATTAGACTCCGCGGCTGAGTCAGAGTTCTTGGGCTGTGAGGGACTAATGAGGGCGGCTGAGACGTTGGCGTGAGAAAACCGCATGGTTCTTTTGGGGTATCTGCAGGGAGACCCCAGGGCTGGAGCACAGGAGGCAGTAGGACAAGCCCCACGTAGTCTGAGGGTCAAGGATAAGCAGGAGGACCCGGCAGAGAAGCCATGCTGTCCCAAATACTAACCCAGCTGAGCCCAGCTCCCCCCTGTTCAGAGCCCCAGAGCCTGGACACCCCCATCTCCCTCCACCCTCCTTTTCCTCATTCCCCCTTCACCTCAGCAGCCCCCACCACATCCAGGAAAGCAGAAACTCAAATCAGAACCTACGGTAGTTGTCAGACTGGCCACCCAGCAAGGTAGCCCAGATGGACAGGTCCAGGCATGACATTAAGGTGAAGGTCAAACCAGAGACAGCATTGTGTGGAGGTCAAGGATGTCAGTGAGCGGAGGGAGGTCAAGGTCAGGGTGAGTTCAGGCAAGAGATTAGGGTCAGAATCACAAACGAAGTCAAGGGCACGGGCACGGGATGAGGACAGAGTTGGGAATGAGGTGAGGATTGAGGTAGGGAGGTGACCCCTTGCAGGTGGGAGGGATAGGAACCCAGCGCTGGAGCTGCCGGCCTGAGCTCCCTGGGGAGGGGAGCGCAGGTGCAGAGAGGGCTGGTGGGAGGCAGGGCAGCCCCAGCCTACCATGGTCTGGAGTGCTCGCTGGTGCTGCCGCGGGGCTGGGGCCGGCTGGAGATGGCTCTTTAAATAGTGCTCCTCCCAAGGCCGGCAGCACTCCAGTCCAGACAAAGGTTTGGAAGGTGACAAGGACAGGATGGGGGCCCCCCTGCCGGACATCTGTTTCTGGCCATTTGGAGTGGGTGGGGCTGTGGGATCCTTGGCTGGAATCCACGGGCCAGAGACTGCCTAAGCCATGAGGATCTCCGTGAGCGCAGGACCAACTGTTTTCGCTATGACCAGGGGACCAAGGCCCAGGAAGGGGCACCTGGCCAAGGACACACAGCACGCCGAGGCTGCAACCAGTTGGGACAGCTTGGCCTTGGGCCTGGGCAGGCTAAGAGGAGCTCCCTGAGGCAGGGCTGCCCCTGCCAGCTGGGGCCACTCAGACCACAAAGTGGCCAGGTATCTTGAGCTGCTTGACTCTGAATGGGACTCCATCCCTTAGGACACTCAGTTCTCTCACAGGGACAGTGGGGAGGATGTGACACTGTCCGGTCTGCTCATGGAGAGGGTTTCTGCATCAGCCTGACCCATGAGGGTCCCTCAACCAATATGCCAGTTGTTCTTCAGTTAGCAGAGCCACCTCCCCCAGCCCAGGCCCGGGCCCTCTCAGGGCACTGAAAACACCCAAGGTATTGAGAAAGCAAAGAGAAGTCCTGATAAGGGAAAACTGAAAAAAAAAAAAAACCAGACCTCCATCCCACCTTGGCTACACACACATACACACATACACACACATGCATCCAGGCCTGGCCCAGCCCAAGAATTCTCCAGGAAATGTGCCAAACAGAGCCCACACCTGCCCCAGGCAGGCCCATCGTGCACAGTACAGCCCCTGAATCCCACTGGGCCTCAGCAGCGGGCCCTGTCCATCTGACCAATTTGGCTGCCAAGCGGGGCCCACCACATCTGATCAGCTGCCAGGGCCGGCAGTGCTGGGTTCAGGCGTGCGTCCCGGGGGCGGAGAGCTTAACTGTCCCAGAGCTGGCCTCAGGCCTCGGGCCCCAGGACGGCTGATCCCCTCTTGCAGGGCGGAGTGTAATGAGAGTCGCTACCATTTCTAAAGCACGGAAGGGCAGGGCGGGTTCTACCACATGGCGCCCACATCCTGTCCTGTTCCCATTTTCCAAGTGAGGGAGTGGGGACACACTCAGGTGCGGTCACTCACCTGAAGCTGAAAGGAGGCGGTGCCAGGACGCAGACACCTCTTTCTGGTGGTTCCAGAAGGTTCTACCCAGCAAATGTTTCCTCCCTCTGGTCCTCACCTGGCAGCCCCAACTGCAGCTGCTCCTGGGCTCCCAAGCACCTGAGCTGGAGCTCTCCATCCAGAGCCGGGCCCAAGTCCTGCTGTGTGTCCCTCAGCAGGTTCTTCTCCTGGTATCCTCTTAGAGGGACCAACCACACACTCTATAGTGTTCAGTAGGCCCGGGGAAAGGGGAGCCTGCCTCTGAGGACAGCAGCCGTGGGTTCTAGTCCCAGCTCACCATGACCTGCTGTCAGAGATGGTCTGTGTGGCCACAGCAGGTGCCTGCCCTTTCTGGGCTGTGTGGATGGACAGATAGTTGGGGTGCAACCTTTCCCTGCTCAGTGTGTGAGCCTGGCCCTGGGGTCTCTGGCTCTAGACTTGCTGAGGGGGAAGACATGATGCTATCTGGGGCATCACTCCCCTGAGCAGCCCTGCTTCCTGCTGCTGGCGTCCTGCTGGCCTGAGGCCGCCTCATCTAAGGGCTGGATGTCCTAAGCTCTTGCCTCCGGGGATGGCTGCTCAGGACCACGGAAGTGTTCTCAAAGCCAGGGCAGTCTGCTGGAGGGGAGGGAATGCGAGACAGGATCTCAGTGGGCTGTGGATGAATCACAGCAGGGCTTAGAGTCTTAGTAAGTCCCTACTGCTTCCTTCCCTGGCCCCCATCTCCTCTGGAAGACAGAGGCAGAAAGGGCCGATCAGAAACCCTGCGAGACCTTGGAACCCCCAGGGAGGGTGGGTGTGGGGAGCACGTCATGGCCCTAAGAAGGGGAAGCTGTGAGTTCTGCCCTTGCCTTGGGACTCTGACGGGGCAAAGCATGGACCCTCAGTTTTCTCTTTCTGAGAAATGGGGCCAGCAATCTGACCCTTTTGAAGCTGCATCTGGAAGCCTAGTGCCACTGGAAAGAGTTGGGCATTGGGGTCATGAC